TTATCGATAAACTATAAGTATATTAAAATCCTAAATCTGGCCTATTTTAAGATAAATCGATTTTTTAAAAATGCATAGAAATGTTGAAAAAGAATAAGGTAAATTTATTGTATATTAAAAGAATCTAAAATAATTGATTAAATATTTGATGCAAAAAGAAAATTATTAAATTAAAATTATTACTGAATAATAATCTTTTCTTAATAGTTCTTTTTAAAGTTATTTTATTAAAGGATGTATTAACTATAGACTCGTTATTTCGACCTTACACAGAAATAACATTGTTAAAGAGTAATATATGCAACGTAAACTTCACCAAATCTGTCTACTTAGTGTAGAATCAGTGACGTCGGGATTCTGACGCTCGAGGTATCATAGCTTTTTAGCGCTCCCAGAAAAACATAGAATAATACTTATGAAGTACTCATCCAGGAAGATAAATTTGCTAAATTTTTTTTGGATGGCGCCCAGAGCATGACAGGCCCGCACTACTAAAATGTATTTATCACAAAAATTGCTGTATTCATTGGTTTTTTTTTAAATATTAGAAGATTAATCTTATAACTATGTTTTGTTTAAATTTTTGGACAGTTGCTGAAATTTGGCACACAATTCAAATGACATGTAAATCATCAAAACTATAACAAAATCATATAAAATCGTTTAACTTTAATTTTAAAAAAATTTGAATAATCTCATATAACAACCGAACGACATCAAATAAATCAAGTTTTTCGCAATATTCGATTCAATTCGATTCACGGTCACAAAAATTCACATTAAAAACCTGCAAAACGCTTCAGTTGAAATGTATATACATCTATCAACCTCTTATCCAAAATTGAATAAAAAAAATGTTTTACAAGAATATGAATAAAAATCTTATATATTATAACTTAAATGAAGTAATATAATTAAATAAATTACGAAGTGATACTTTAAAGTACGTTGAAAGCAAAATAAAAAGATAAATGAAATAAATTTCCAAAAATTTATTGCTTACTGAAGTTCAATAAAAAATTTATTTTTTATTTTGTATCTTCCTGCAATTTTATTGTACTTCAAGTTTATCTGTAAGTTATGTTTATACGCTTACATAAATTTTTTTTCAATTGACCTTGTAAGGTTGTAGGCTTTTGGATTTCAGTAAAAAAAGCAGTAAAAAAGTACTTCGTGCAGATAAAATAATCATTGTGATTCTGTGGTTTTAACTTTAAAAAAAAACTGAAAAACAAGCAGCTGATATCAATATGACAGTAAGCCCATAAATATTAGTACAGGTTTATAAGTTTGATAGTCCCTATTTTAATTACTTAAAAAGCACAACGGGCTTCCGTATTCTTTTCAATTATTAATGCGGTTATAGTGAAGATTATTTAAAATTCTACTATACTTAAAAAATAATATGTAGAATTTTTTAACCTTTTCTCAACCTGGTAAAAATATGACGTTAATCAGAATGAGAGGCAATATTAAAAAAATCATACAGCTTAAAATATTTTCAAAAGCATAGTAATTATCTTAAGTATGGCTACATTTGTATAAGCAACTTGACGAAGACATCACAATAGTATTAAGTACTTTACTGAATTAAAAAAATGTATGTAGTTTTAATTTTACTGGTTTTGATTAAATAAAAATGTGAACAGGGCACGAATTCAATCCTTGATACTTGCAGTCTCAAAAAATTATTTAGAAACAATTAAATACAAGAAATATTTGCAAGACCACTGATGATGAGTATTTGGAAATATTCGTAACAGCTGTATGGTCAACCAAAAATTCAATTAATTAAGATAATATAAAAAATAATTTTGTTGTTGTAGTTCACTACTTTTCGAAAAAAAACCTCTTTATAAAATTGTAATAAATAATTGTAAAAAAAATAATTTATAGATCAGACGTAAGAAATGCATATTAATGTTTTTTACAATAAAACATTTATCATAAATTACTTAATTTTTAATACTCACGATAGATTATATATATATTTTTAAAGTTTACTAATTATTTCATAAGGAAAAAAAAAATAATATTTTTCATCTACAACATAATATTTCATAAAAAAATTTTAAGATCGTTTCGTTTAGTGAGATGATGAATTTTTGCGAACAAATTATTAATTATGGATAACGCTTATCTAAAGCACTCTACTGCTTTATATTTGTACTAAATTTTAATGAAAATTATTATAAATGCTTAAGCACTTTTTTAATTAGTTACACAATAATGTCAAGCATTTTATTTAATATAATTTGGTTATGCGGATAAGTATTTCAAACTGATCCTTACTTTGTTTTGTTTCTATTATCTGTTAGGATATCTATTTTAAATTAACATATGCAACGGACGTGAAAGTACCAAACAATGCATAAAATTACTTTTTAAAATTATTTTATTAAAAAATAATTTAAAATTTGTATTAATTCGTAGTAATTTAAAAATTATTTTTAATTTAAGCAAAAGTTAAAAATTTTGATAAGTTTTTAGTAGTTTCATAAAATTTTCTCTTTTGTAATACATATCTAAACAGTAGTTTATTTTTAATACAATGACACTATAAATAATATTTAAATAATTTTTTGCAAAAACATTGCAACAATTGTTATTATTTTGTTAGAATGAGCTTTCAGATAAATTATGTTCAAGTTTTAATAAAAGTGAAATAAACTAATGAACTTAATAAAAATTATTGAATAATAATAATTTAATTTAACAACTTTAATTTAAGTTGTTTTATTATTGATATTCAGATGTCTGAGTTGGTGAATCAGTACCTTTACTCTATTTTATCTGTGGACAGTTTTAAGTCACACTAAGAATAACTGAATACGGAGCTTTATAATATGATGGATCTGATGTCTTTGTATCTGCCTGTGTTTATCAAATTTCACTGTATTTTTAGGATGCTGAATGTTGGATTATTATGACTGTCAATTATATTGAACAGTTTCAGAGCACGATCTTTAATGTATTTTTCGACTGAATCGACTCTCAGATCTCTGTGGATATCCGCTCCTCTTACATACCATGGGGCATTAATCAGTGTTCTTGAGGCAATATTTTGCCCTCTTTGAATTTGTTTTAGTTTCATTTTTATGTTTAATAAAAGTTTGACATAATTGATCAGTTAGCCTATTCTAAATTAATCTTTTGTGTGAAAAAGCAAGTCTACATGTTAATATGCCAAGCAAATAATGCTTCCAAAACACAGAGTGTTCTGATTAATAACACATTTGATTTCTATTCAAAATAGAGTTCTTATCACTTAGTTTCATATTTTCGGATACTCACTTTAATATATACTGTAATAAACTTGGCGAGATCTATCTATAGACAGAAAGGTTAGAGCCTTAGAGGTATATCGCAACCTCTAAAAAACTATGCAAGTTAGTATATGTATGAATAATAATTAATACAAATTAAAGTTTAAAAATCCATAAATTTAATTATTTTTATTTGTTTTTAATATAACACTTTTTATGGTTCTTTTCCTAATATATCGAAACAGGTTCAATAAAAATATATGTACAGTTGTTCAAAAAAGTACTCAGTTTAGACACTTTATATAAGAAAAATCAGTAAAAGGCAACAATATCAAATATTGTTTCTTGTGTTTTTAGAAAGTTTTAATAAAATACTGTAAAAAAACAATATTATTTTCAAAAAATATTTACTTCATTAATTTTAGACAAACAAAATAATAGACCACCTGGCCTGAATTTGTACCAATTTTCATAACTAAAAAGGGGAATTGTATGGGCGAAGGAGATTAACTTTTTTAGTACTTGGGTAACCGAAAAGAAAAACCACATACTTTTGTATGAAATACTTATATTTTCCGCAAATAAACATAATAGAGCAAATATAGTGAAAACTAAATGACATGGATAATATTTAACTCAAGTGAGATAGTAACTGCGGCCAGGCTATTTTGGCCAGGCATTATTTATCTCCGTTATGTCTATTGTTTAACGTGCACATGTAACAACAACTAAGCCATTATGGCGACCTAATAATAGGACTTGACGTTATATCGGGTAGCTGTTTAACCGAAATAGCGTTACTACATTTCCTTGTTAAATATTTATTAAACATAACTTTTTAAATTTAAATTTTAGTTTAAAAATGTTTATGCTTGATAAACGTATTTTTTTTAAAGGGAAATTATATATTTTGCAGCTATTATAGTTTGAGGCAATATTGCCATTTAGTTTTATGCAGATTTAGTGAATTGAATGCAGCGTAATAATTATTGACCATTAATATGCATTAATTAATTAATATATATTTTCTATCGTCTACGTTGTGATTAAAAACGTTAAAGTGACAAATTTAAAAGTATAAATTTATATGTTTAAAAAATTTAGAATGATCCAAATATCTAGCAAAGCTGGCACTGAAAGCTTCAATGAAAGACAAAAAAGATCTTAGCTTTAAATGTTATAAGGCGATATCTAAGAATCAATTGTAATTCAAAGTTTTACTATAAAAAAAGCAATTTCCATGTTGAGTATGCCTAAAATCCCTTAGAAAAATAAATATATTATAAGTAACATTATAATATTAGTACGTAAGTTTTATTTTCGAATAAAAGTTTTTTCAGATCAATTAAGTGGTTTAAGTGGTTTATTTGACTTAAAAAAATGCGTATTTGCGTTTTCGATTGTATTATTTAATAAAGTACATTAATAAAATTTTATAAAAACACAAAAATATTATTTGAAATTTTCTTTTGTGATTTCTTCTTAATAAAGTTTTATTATTAAAGTTTCTTTTTGGGTCCGAATTTTTTTTTAAACCACTGTATTGTTGAAAGAAGCCTTCATAGTTCTACAAAAATTATTAATGATAGTGAACAGATAAATAGTTTTAATCTGTGACAATATAGCACGCTTTGTTTGTCATTAAAATTAATTAATGAATTAGCAATTAAGTTTTATCTTTTCTTCATTTTCTAAATTTATTTAAAATTATTTAATTTGAGTTATTGAACTTACCGCTGTCGATTTCATTCTCATGCGGATCACGACTAAATATGTCACTATAATAACGATCATATTGTTCTGATTCTACGCTCTGTAATGATTCAGCTTCATTTTCAATTTCATCATTAGGAATTTTACTATTTATATTCTCTTCAATGTCATCTTCTGGTTGATCTTCTGGTTGCTCTTCTGGTTCTTCTTCAATAGGTTCTTCTTCTTTCTTTTTTTGTAGTGCACTACCACGGAAGCGATATTTTTGATTTTTATTATATGCACTGAAACGATTTCGGTTTGCATTTGTGCCTCGTTTCAAATTTTGTAAACTTGAAGAGGCAAAACCTCGTGGTTTCGGTCTTTGTGTTGGTTTTGGTAGAATTTCATCGATCGTTGGTATTTTTTGATTTCCAGCTCTACTACCACCAAATAATTTACGTTCCAAATAGTTTGCAAGTATTTGTTGTGTTATTTGATTTTGACGTGCCAATTCAGACTGATCCAATTGATAATTTGTTCCTAAAACATAAAAATAATAAAAAAATTTACAACTGTGACTAAAAAAATATTGTAGAATAAATCTAAATCTAAATTTATCTAAATAAATCTAAATCTAAATAGAATATTGTAGAATATTCTAACATAGTATAGAATATCAGAAAAGAGGTTGATTATAAATGATAAATGATAATGATAATGATGATAAGATTTATTTTAATTAAATAAAATTATTTTCAATGAAGAGGAAAATAAATAAAAATTAAAAAATTAAATTATTTAAAATTTATCACATCATAATATAATTTGATCGGTTTTTTTTCGTTATAGAACACAATTCGAAGTGGTTGATTCTGCAATCAATACAGATTTTTTCTGTAAATTATTAATTCTATGATCCATCTGCAAATTCAAGTAAAACGCACTTTGTTCAAGAGGCCATGCAGTGCAAAACCCAAGTAGCCAATGCAAGCTTTTACTGTCTAAAAAGAACGTTACACTAAAAATCCTATTTAGAAAGACCGAGATAAGAATCTGTAAGACTGTACTGCAACCAGTAGACTGTGGGAATGAAATATAAATAAAATATGGGAACAGAAAGATAGGTAGACTTGGTATATTTTAGAGACAGAATAACAACGTTTTATGAAAAATCAAAAATTACGATGACTGGGGTACATAATCGGAGGATCTATTGCAAGAAACCAACAAATAGTACTCACAGGTGAAATGCTATCAATGAACAAGAGAAGGCGACTGACTAAAAAAGGCATTAATCGATGGAATTGCTAGCAATGAACAAGAGAAGGCGACTAAGAAAGAGATGGATCGATGGAGTTGAAAAGGGCTCAAGTACATTGCAAATACCCAACTAGATAACATCAGCAACATGTACTAAGAAATGGAGGAAAATTCTCTAGCAAATCTAAATACTCAATAAATGGTCAAACCGTGGAAGAAGAATCTGATAAAAAATATTTATAAAATGTAATAAAATCTTAACAAATCAAGATTATTGATGTTAAAGAAAATAAAAAGTTATTAACTTGAAGAAACAGTTTTAATTGTAAAAGCAGATTACTTAAAATAGAGAACTCATGTTGTTACGAAATGAAAATAAAAGCACAAATATAAACGAAATTATAACTAAAAGGAACATCTCTTATTGGTGAAACTGGATCTCGAATGACGAAATCATTAAAAATAATATTAAGCAGTGGCATTGAACTTTTGATACTAATATAACTTTTTTTTATTTTATATAATCCTTTTCTAAATTTCTAGATTATTGTGCAAACTATTATGACGTCAAATATAAATTTGAAAAAGTATAAACTAAAAACTTGAACCATTTGTATTATTAAATGATTCTTTAGATTTTTCAAAAATCAAAAATTTAATAAAAATTATACATTGCCATATAAATAAATTAAAAGAAACTAATAAAATTAGCAATTAATGTTAACATATAAGCATTCACTTTGATGAATTTATTTAATTATTTTAGTCCAATAAATTTGTGCAACTTTAATATCTAAAACCAGAATAAATCAGTTTCTTTTAAACAAGTTTATCCTGCTCAAAATGAATCATTCTTCCAAAAGAAAACTAAAACTATATGAAACGCATTAATACATATAGTAATTTAATCTAATTTTATACGTATATTTAACATTTTATAATTTTAGAAAGTGAACAAAATCAAAATCGTTTAAATTCTTCGTTTAAATCGTTTAAATTCAAAATCGAAAAAGAGTCATAATGAATATGAACATAAAAGAAGTAGTTTGGGATAAGATTTAGAATAATCTAGTAATCTAATCTATATAATATTAATAATCTAGTTAATAATCTATCTAGTAACTACAAGAGACAACTAATTGCAAAACGCGAAGATTTTTTTGAAAACAGTCCTCTAGCATTTGAAGTGAATTTATAAAGGAAAAGGAAGCAATATCTTTCCATTATTAATTAAAAACAGAAATTGTGGTTTTTAGCTCCTTTTGATATGCCCATTGTGTCCAAGTAAGATTATCCGCACTATAACCGGAATTTGGTTTTGAACTCTATCTTCACAAACTTTAACAGCTTTTAAATTTCGAGTGGCCTAAACTACGTAACCTTTACAGCGCAGATAAACTTTATCTCATTACCGTCTACTATTAAATGTACTATCAAATTTAAAAAGCTATTTTTGTTCATCAAACTAAGAACTCCGCTTACTATAGCTTACCAAGTTGTATTTTTGTTAGTATATTTCTACATAGATTGTGTATATCATGTGATTAAAGCCCCTATAGAATCATTATGGCCAACAATTTTATGAAAAACTTTTTTCTTAAACGAGTCAAATTACTTTCTGCTACACACACAAGCTTCGGATCTACATGTCAATAGTGGCGATATTATAATATTATATAGCAATAGTTTAAAGATTATAACAAAATTTCTGGATTTAAAGAGCCTTGACAGACTATATTTGTTATGGCAGCACTGAAAATAGAAAACACGCGGATCTGGCAACACAACTTGAAAGATCGAGCGTGCGTATACATACAAGAAAGTGATACTTAGTAAATTAATTGTAACAATTAACTGTAATAATAGTAACATATTAACAACTATTGTTGATTATTATAACAATATTGAAGATATTTTTACTGAACATATAAGTTTCACACCCATACGTGAATATTGACAAGACCATAATCTTGCACAACTGCAGCTTAGAGATTATGGCACAATTTCTAGACATAAATAACTTGAGCATGCTATAGTTAACTTAAGTTGTAGTGCCAGATTATTCTTTTATATAGATTTTTAGTTTATTACCTCTCACTAATTGAAAAATTGTACTTCCATAAAGATATACTCCACTATTCCGATTATTCTACAATATAGGATAACTCCATGAAAAACATTTTAACCTCTAAAATTTTAGTTCACTAAATGGATTCTCAAATATTAAACTACTTTTTTATTCAATTTTATAAATATGTATATATTTACACTACTACGTATCATCAATTAAATCTTATATGAATTCAATATCGTTTTATTTTGCATATGTAAACAAAAATATTTTGCAACTTTGTTTTTATTACAACCTTACTGGCTACCATTAAGAGATTCAGTTAAGTATTATTATCATGAATCCAAAAAGTATTGTTAACGAGTCTTAATGGCTTTAACAAATAAGTGTAAAAGTGGAAAGAGGTATTATCATAAGCACTTTATAAAGTAAACCTAAAAAAACCATGTAAACAAAATAGCAATAATATAAATATCGCGATACAAAATTTTTATACAATTTTTAAATAAAAATTCGAAATAATATTTATTGTGTATGGTGTGTACCCTTACTCTTCAATTTGGAGGTTTAACAGTAACAGATATATTGTATATATGAGTATATAAAACATAACAAAAATAAAATTTAAAAATAAATTTCTTTAACTATTAAACAACATTTATCTTAACAGTTTTTTCGTATTTTTTGTATGAACATTTATTTAGTTACAATGTTACAAATCAAATATTTTACATTTATACTTTAATAATAAATATAAAAAAAAATTTAATTAACTTTCTACCCTTGACACAAATATGGAGAACCAAGATTTCAGCTGATTTTTGGTAGTCAATGAAGACAATTGCAGATTGTTTAAAACAAATGTTTTGTGGTAAAATAAAAACAATTAAAACTCATCTCAAAAACATATATCAAGTGCTGTGACATTTAAATATTAAGGTGAGTCAACTAACTACACATAAATAACAGCAGCAATGACTGTCGATTTCAAGCGGCACTACATTTTTTAGGTAGGAGTCCATAATGAACACCGACCAACTACTAACTTAACTCATTGACCATCTTTCAAGCATTTTGCTTGCAATGATTTTTATTTTGCTGTGATTTCGTTACTGATAAACTCAAAACATCTTAAAAGTCATTCAAATCAAATGACATATGTCACTTCAGTCTTTTATTCTCCTTCATTTTCAGCTTTAACTCATAATAACTTTATTTGATTTTAATTATGCATTTGATATTCTCAGAAATTTGTTTACATTTCTCGAATTGAGCTGTTAACACACTGCATTTATAGATATTATGAAAATTTCATAATTTATAAAGCCTTTATTTGTAGACAAGGCACATAATAGTCCATTATTTGTATGTAAATTTGTTTGTTAAAAATTTTTTGTATCTATCTTTAAGCTACTTTGTGTTTTAAAAAGCAATTTTATGCAAACATTTTTGTCAGTTACTGAGCGAAAAGATAATCTTATCTCTGCGTTTGCCAAGTTAATTGCTTTGTAAACTTTTTTCCATACTTCAAGTAAAACTTTTCGTAAGTATTTCTTACACAATAGAAATAATATCGTAGGTGTTAACAACGTTTTTGACTTTATAAATATATTACTTACAAATTCACTTCAATTTTTATAATGTAATGATTAAAATATGCCTTAAAAAGTTAACTAGATATAATTGACCATGAAAGCAGAAATGGACTACGTTTTTAAAATAGCTTTAATTTTTAAAATAAATTTATTTAGTTACTTATTTTTTATTGTAGTCTTATATTGAAGTCAACGCTTATTAGCTGCGCATTATTACTATTATTAGTTTTATTTATTCATACTAATTGAGGCTACTGTAAACATTTAAAAATACAAGTACGATACAATATAACTATAAAAATATATAAACATAAAGCTATAACGTTAATTTTTTCTTGCCGAGCGTGACGCGTCTACATGACGAAAAGAAACTATTTAAAAGGTAGACGGATTCGATTAACTTCCAATTTGACAGGCACGAGTCCTAGCCTGGCACTTACAGTCCAAACAAATTATATACGGACTATAAACTAATTAAGAAATTCAAAGACCACTGATGATGAGTACTTGGCAATACTGGAAACAGCGTTGTATGTTCAGCTAAATTTCAATAAATTAAATAAATATTTGTTCTTGGTTTTTCTTTGCTATTCGAATCCGTCTATAATGTTATA